AGGCTAGGCTTGAGGTGAACTCTCGCTCATTGGTGCGACCTCAACTTGGGCATCAATGCCCATCTCCACTCCAACTCTGGAAGGGTGTGCAACTACCTCTTCTATTGGCTTAGACCCACTAGAATTAATCATGGAAGTGTCGCATAGTGATGCCTTCATGACCACCCATAGCATGTCACCTTCTAGGTCATCTAAGTCCTCGTACATATCAATCTCATGAGAAACCAAGTCCTTCTCATCAGTCTCGAGAGTGTCGGACTCCCCATCCTCATCAGGTGCAGCAACATCTCCAGTTACAGCAGTCGGAGGAATCTCTAAATCAGTTGGGATCAGAGTCAACTCAAAACTAGGGTCCTCAGGGACATCTACACCACCCCACATCATCGATATGTCGGTGGATTTCAATTCATCCACTTCCTGATGCAGTCCGGCAATATCATTCTTCATAGGTGTCAAATCAGGCAAGTTGGTTACCTGTCTACTCACACATCTCAACATGAGCGTTGAGGCCATCAAATTCTATCCCATGGGAAGTGATCAACTCACGCTACTCATTCAACTCTTTTCAAATGGGAGCAAGTGTCGTAGCTATAGCACACTTAATCATCGAAGGGACAACGGCCTTAACCCAAGAAGCCCTTGCATCGTCCGAATGGGCAAGCTTGCCCATTTTATAAATCATCGCCTGAGTCAAATGGGGATGGGAGATAGGAGTAGGAGCAGGAACAGTAGCGGTCGAAGGGGTAGGTATACCTAATGGCTTCATGGAGGGAGTGAGAGGTGTAGGACCAACCTCCACAGACTCTACGTTAATAATCGGAGAAGTGTCGACCGGAGTTTTCTTCTTGTTTTCCACCTCATCTTTCAATTACTCTGCTTCGATCCGACGAATATCACAACACGAGGAGGGAGTGCCCTCAGTATCCGTCTTCGCCACAAAGGGAACGCCTGCTCGGTGACACAAGACATTGATCAGAATCAGAAATGACAATGAGGTTCAATTTTATTTGGCCCTAAAAGCCATCTCCTTTGCAATAATAGAGCCCAGATTCACCTTCCCCCGGTCGATGATACACCCCAAAAGTGAAGCCTTCGGATGCCTGATAATAGATACATTTTGTGACGGCATCAACGTGCTACTAATGAACTCGAACCAGTACCGTGTTGTGATATTAAGATTATTCTTCTTAATAGTAACCCGTGCCTCAATCCATGGGAGTTTTGTATCACTCAATAATGGGGCAAGCCACCCCTTCAATTCTTTCAAAGTCTCAGTCTTTATTTTGTCGACCAAAAAGTGTCAAGTCCACACTGTGCAATCCAACTCATCGTTGATATTTGTCTCACTGCACTTCACCTTATTTCGCACCTCTACAAAATCAACAAGTGCCATTGAACTAGCCTTTTTTTTCCCTTTCGAGATCATCTTGGCATACCCTTCATATAACTCTCAAACCCATGTAAGAACGTATGGACTCCAAGGTTTCATGAACTGTTGGAATCTGTGGTACCGTAATGTCTCCCGAAAAGTTGAATATATGTTCATTACCCCATCTGTGGAAAATTGCTTCTCCTCAAGTATAGTCTGCAAGCCAGTGGCCTTTAAACAGATCATTGACAGTGGAGCATTCACCGGAATAGGAGGCACTTGTGATGCCTATGGTGCCGAAGGTAGTGCCAGTGGGTCATGGGCTACTTTAGAATGCAGCTCTGATCATTTCCTCTTTATCAACTCAGCTTCTAGCACCGGTGTATGGACTGGAGTCCAAGACCCCACAATTCTCAGCCTCGGAGGAAGTGAACTTGATGGAATCGATGTCTACACTGTCCTCTGAGCTTGTGTCAGTGACAATCTACTTTTTACCCTTACCACTCACATGTGGAGGTTTACGACAAGTGGTTTGGGAAGTCTCAAATTCTTCCGCAATCACAACCCCCTTTACTTTCTTTTTGGGTGGAGGACCTTATAGTTTGGCTTGCCTCCGAGATCGAGGGTAGTCCTCATCTATCCCACGCTAAGCAGGAATCTTAGGTCTAGCCATACCTGTAAAAGCACAAAAACAAGAACAAATTTGATCACAAAAGTTTTGTGAAACAGAATTTTCAAAAAAATACGGAAAACTCACCGAAGAAGGTCGGCAAGTTATCAAGTCCACTTGGTGAACAAAAGAAGCTTGGTCGAATGTTACAGACTTACCCAGTAAAAAATTAGGTCAAAAAGGTGATATCAATGCCATTCAGCAACTTGTCGAGTTCACTCGGTGAGCTGAAGGGTCATCGCCAAAAGTAACAGCGACTCACCTTCATAAGTCTGACACCTAGGCGATGAAACAAACATTTTGCAACACGCCGAACCAATTCGGTGAGCTCGACGAAGCTCACCAAAATGGACCAACGCATCACCTTCCCAACTTTTTCAATTATCAATCAACAGCCTATGAAACACTAATTCAAAAACAATTTCAAACAACTCTCAACTACCCACGATGGATTTCTAAGCCGGGGTACTCAGAATTCCCCCAATTAGTTCAAGTTCAACCAAACGACAATTTTGCCCTTAAGAACGGTGTCACCCAATCCATCATCGGGAAAATTCAAGGTATTTGGTTTAATTCAGGCTACTTAAACTTCACCCACACATTACCCAATATGCAAAACCCACAATTTCAACATCTAACATGAGAAACTTAAACAAATTGGCCCAAACAATTGATTTAACAGGCTCGATTTCAATTTAAAACTATACGAACCAACAGGCATACAATCAAGGCATAAAATTTAACTAAGAAATGATAAGCCATTACACTACCCATTAGCATTTCAAGTATACCTCAAAAGTAAACAAAATTTAAGACATCAACCTCCAATGTAGACAATGACTTAGACGCGACAAAAAAGGGGGTAGAGGAATCACAACGACACTTCAAATGCAAATCACACAACACTTAAATAGAATTATAGTCTAAAGTTTGAGGGAAAGAGTAGATGAGTCAAAATTTTCAAATAAAAAGAGAAGATTTGAATATAAAAGGTCAGAGATTCTTCATTGGGCGCCTTATTCGGTGAACTAAAACAACATCGCCGATCAACTTGGTGAACCGCTAACTGGGCTTCAGTCTGCCGAACTTGATAGAATATACAGTCCTTCAGTAGGTGCAAAGTGCAAACTCAATAGGGTTTGTCAATCGAAATCGGTGACTCGCTAAATGGGCTATAAGCTCGGCCAAACATCCAGAACCTTCCTCATTTTTTACCTTCATGAGGCGATGCATTTGGGTAATGATAGAGGAAATTTGGTGACTCATCGAGTGTTCCAACCCTTCGCCCATTTGCATTTCTTCCAAAATAAGAACTTCAACCTGTGAATCCAACAAAAATTATTCAAATAACAAAAAGTAAAGCTTGGTTTGCCCCCCAAGAAGTGTCTTCGTTAACATCGTGGCACGACATGGACATGCACTCAAGCATAATCCAAATATACCACAACAATCTTAGTCACATTGGAGCATTCTCCAAAATTAAACTTCAACCTTTGCCCATTAACCTTGAACATTGCCTCATCTTCGTTCTCAGCTTCTATTTCCCCGTTCGCAAACACACAATTTACATCGAATGGATCCGACCATTTGGACTTGAGTTTTCCCGGAAAGAGTCTCAGACGGGAAATGTAGAGCAACACAAGATTTCCAACTTTACACTGTCGATGAAGGATTTTGGCGTCATGCCATTTCTTGATTTTCTCCTTATTAAGGACTTAACTCTCATAAGCTCGAAACCGAAACTCTTTCAAAGCATGTAGTTGGTCAACTCCATCCATCGACGCATCCTCCCAATTCAAGTTCATGGCCTTCAAGGCCCATAACGCCTTATGCTTAAGTTCAATTGGTAGATGACAAGGTCTACCAAACACCAATTGATACAGGGACATACCAATTGGGGTTTTGAATGTAGTTCTATACGCCTTCCACAATCAATAGGTTTGATTTGCACCAACGGTTTTGGTCAAAATTCCTTTGATTTCTCAGTTTGACACCTCGACTTGACCACTTGTTTGCAGATGATAAGGGGTGGAAACCTTATGCTTGACTCCATACTCGCTTAACAATGATGCGAACATTCAGTTATAGTAATGAGTGTCCCCATCACTAATGATTGCACGTGGAGTGCCGAATCTTGTGAAAATATACTGTTTGAGGAATTGAACCATACTTCTCCCTTCATTATTGGGTAAGGCCACCGCCTCTACCCATTTAGAGACATCAACAACGGCTACCAAGATGTATTTGTTCCCTTAAAAACTAACAAAGTCCCCATGAAATTGATTCACCATACATCAAACACTTAACCTCTAGAATAGGGGTTAGTGGTAATTCATGCCTTAACGACACATTTTTTAACAATGCACACATTTTTTAACAAGAGAGTTCGCATCTTGATACAATGTTGGCTAATTATAACCACTTTGTAGTACCTTAGCAGTTGTACGCACTCCACTATGGTGCCCACAAACTGGTGACGCATGGCAAGCGTCAAGAATAGCATCTACCTTGACTTTCGGGACACATCTTCTAATCATGTGATCCGCACACTCCCGAAATAGGTAAGTCTCATCTCAGCAGTACTTCTTCACATCGAAAAGGAACCTCTTTCGTTGGTAAAAATTTTAGCCCATCAGGAAGAATCCCACACACCACATAATTTGCAAAATCAGCATACCAAGGCGGAGTACCACTCGACACAACCATCACCGACTCATCGGGAAAGCCTTCCTCAATATATTTTTCCCTGGAAACAACCACATTCATTTCAAGCATCGACAAGTGGTCTGCCACTTTGTTCTCACACCCTTTTCGATCTTTGACATCAAATTCCAACTCTTGCAATAATAATACCCATCGAATCAACCTTGGCTTTGCATCTTTCGTAACCATCAAGTAACATATGGCAGCATGGTCTGTGTGTACCACCACCTAGGTCCCTATAAGTTAAGCTCTAAACTTCTAAAAATCATACACCACGGCTAACAAATCTTGCTCAATGATGGTGTAGTTCTTTTGAGCTACATTTAAGGTCTTACTTGCATAGTAGATCGGGTAAAATAAATTTCCCTTGTGTTGGCCAAGTATAGCCCCCAAAGCTACATTGCTTGCATCACACATTAGCTCAAATGGAATGCTCCGATTAGGAGAAAAAATGATAGGAGCCTCTTTTAAATAGAAAAATGCATTGACACAAGCTTCATCAAACTCGAAGCCACTTTCCTTTTCAAGTAGCTTGCAAAGAGGATGAGCCACCTTAGAGAAATCCTTTATGAACCTCCGATAAAAAGCACGCATGACCCAAGAAGCTTCTAACACCCTTAACTGATATAGGAGGAGGCAACTTGGTGATAACTTCAACATTAGCTTGATCAACTTGTATGCCTTCTCCCAAAATTTTGTGCCCCAATACAATACCTTCCTTGATCATGAAATGACTTTTTTCTTAATTGAGAACAAGGTTTGTTTTGACACATCCTTGCAAGACTCTACGAAGTTTCTCAAGGCACGCTTCAAATGTATCTCCCACAACCAAAAAGTCATCCATGAAAACCTCCATCGAATCCTCTACCATATTAGATAAAATAGAGAGCATACACCTTTGAAATGTCATCGGTGCATTACACAAGCCGAAGGGCATTATTTTAAAAGCAAACGTCCCATAGGGACATGTGAAGGTTGTATTTTCTTGATCATCAAGTGCAATGGAGATTGCATTATAACCAAAGTAACCATCTAGGAAGCAATACCATCCACGACCCGCAAGTCTATCAAGCATTTGATCCATAAAGGGCATCGGAAAATGGTCCTTCTTGGTCCACGCATTCAACTTATAGTAGTCCATACATACCCGCAAACCAGTAATTGGTCGCATTGGCATAATATCCCTTTTTTTCATTAGGGGCCACAGTCATACCTCCTTTCTTTGGAATACATTGGATGGGACTAACCCACTTGATATCTGTAATAGGGTAGACAACTCTCGCATCAAGCCACTTAATAATATCTTTCTTGATGACTTATTGCATTGGAGGATTCAACCTCCTCTAATTTTCAATACTTAGCTTACAATCACTAGCTAATTGAATTATTTTAGTACAAATGCGGGGGAATTCCCACTATGTCGGCAATCGTCCACTCAATAGATTTGATAAAACTCTTCAACACACTAACAAGCGATTGTGCTTGCCTTTCAAGCAAATTCGTCACAATAATCACGGGTAAAGTGTTATTGGTTCCCAAGAACACATAGTAAAGGTGAGGTGGAAGTACCTTCAATTCAGGCTTTGGTGGTTCTACAATAGATAGCTTTGCGGGAAGACTTTCCCTATTCTTAAAATTGATATCAAGTTTCAAAGGGCTCTCAGAATAATAACCTATACCCGATAGAGAGGCCACTACCTCATCATAATCTTGAATTTCCTCCCCGTCATAGTTCAGAAGGATGGTAGCCAAAAATTTACCAACACAAGAATCTTCGCTTATACTAGCAACCCCTTCAGCAATCACGTAAACGACTGATATCACATGGAGGTCACTTGGTTGTTTCATAAATTTGCAAATATTGAATGTAACTTCTACACCATCTACTCAGAATTTCAGTTCACCACTTTCCACATCAACAAGAGCTTTCCCGGTAGCCAAGAATGGCCTACGAAGAATAATAAGGACCTCCGCATTTCACAATCGAGGATCACAAATCAGTCGGAAAGATAAATTTGTCTACCTTCACCAATATGTCATAAAGGATTTCAATAGGGTCCTTAATAGAGCAGTCGGCAAAAAGAAGACGCATAGTTGTAGGTTTAGGCTCACCTAGCCCATCTTGCTTGAAAATGGCATAGGGCATCAAGTTTATACTCGCCCCCAAATAACATGATGCTTTGGCAAATTTGAACATCCCTATAGTTCAAGGGATACTAAATGCCCCCGGATCATCTTTCTTGACAACCACGTTACTGGACATAACGGCACTACATTTATGGGATACTCCAATCGTCTCGAAATCCATACTTCTCTTCTTAGTGACCAACTCTTTTAGAAACTTTGCATAACCCGACATTTCTAAAAATGCCTCCACCAAAGGAATATCAATGAAAAGACTTTTGAAGATGGAAAGAAATTTTTGGAACTTTACGCCTTCATCCCTCTTCTTCAATCTTTGAGGGAATGGTAGAGTAACTTTGGTCAGCGGCTTTGTAGGTACCGAGGGAGACACAACCCCCACATTTGAATTCTTAGAATCACCAGGAAAAACATTCTTTGGTGCATCATCAACCTCATTGGAGGTTTCATTTTTCAAGTACATCAATCTCAAAAAAAATGGTTTTCCCTTTGCTTGAACTTGCATTTTTATCATTTGGCACATCACTCTCCACAACTTTACCACTTTGGGTCACGATGGTCATGCATTGTACATTATCATTCTTTGGATTGGCCATGGTATCACTAGGAAGACCTCATTTTGGCCTCGAATTCAAGTGAGCAGAAATTTGAACCATTTGGGTCTCAAGTTGTTTTATAGATACTGAATGATGGGTCTCCATTTGATTCAATGAGGAAAAATAAACCTCCATCTCCTTGAGCACTGATGAGTCTAGGATTTTGACTCATTTAGGTCTTGTTATTCATAGTATTAGTGTCCTCGATGACTATTTTGTACACTAAATTGATGTTTAAATGCTAATTTGCAGATATAAAGGCAAAAGAGCAAGGTAAGGATAGTATAAGACAAAAAAGGAGTGAAAAAGATAAAAGGGTTGAAGATGGTAAAGTTGAGAATCCCCAAATCCACTCAGTGAGTCGCCAAGTGGCACTTCAGCTCGCCTAATGTTCCAGACTGCCTGCCCAGGGGAGAAGCTAACTTGGCGATAGAATAGGACTTTCGGCGAACCACCGAACGGATCGTCAATAGTGAATTTGATCACCTAAATTTACAGGGTATGAAGGATGAAGAGTCAAGGTAAACGGCGATGGAGAGGAGCAATTAGCGCATCACCGGCTTGGTCAGCGATGTTTGACTAACTCCGCTAAGTGACCCTGAAGGCCAAAATCAACGAATGTATAAATTGAATTTCAAAAAGATAAAAAAGTATATTGTCATTGTAAGACTCTGAGCTTTCGATTGAATTATTGCTTTTCTTAGTTGGTATTAATTTCTTACTTTTTATGATGTGTGGCTAAAACTCCCATTCTTGGGGGTGTGATTATGTGACTAATTGTCTTAATTAGCTTATGGGCGTTAGTAATTAGTGATTTAATTGCTGTTTTGAAGTGGGTTTGATTGGTAATTGAGTTTTATCTTATGAATCGTAGTTGTAAATTCAGTTCTAGTCTAGTATTTTATGCTTTATTGAGAAAGAGTTTTTAGAATTAAGGTTACTAATTGATGATTGGGTTGTTATGGGTTTAGCTCGAGAGAGTCAATTTTAATTCGATCCTATCTATTGAGGTTTTGGGTTGTTCATATTATGATGCTTGTTGAGGTTCTAGAGAACTCACTTGATTTGTGATAGTTGATCGAGAGATGGATATTACATCTAAATTCTAGCCTATCCAGTAAGATTCAGTGACTTTTGGTAATTAATAATCACCCATATAGCGAAATTGGCAATTAATCTATCACATCCCCAAGTATCCCTTTCTACTTGATTACTACACTATTTTTCATAGTTGTTAATCTACAAACCTTATCCCCTCATTTGACACTTGTTGTCAACCCCTTTGATTTACTTCAATGGTTTTGATAATTTCTATTCCTACAATCGAATTGAATTCTATTCGATAATTTCTTTCACTTCATAATTGAATTCTCTACCGTATCATTCCATGTGGGATCGACCCCAACTCTTTGTTGGGTTTATACTAGATTGCAATCGCCTACACTTAGTTTTGGATGAAGTTGAGTTGAGCTTTATCAAAAATGGTGTCGTTGTCGGGGAGTGGTGTTTGGAATTCTCTTAGTGAAGTAAAGTTGTAATCTGATCTTGTTTGTAGTTAAATCGACCTACGTTGTTTTATGTTTGTTGTTGGTTGTTTGTTAACAAGTGACGAAATTAGTGTGAACGTAAGTAACGGTAGCCAGCTTGGACACCAAGATGACATTGGCAATCTGAATGATGTCAATGAAGCAGTTCAATTGGGTGGTGTAGGTGCTATTCGTTTACCTCAGGTCGGGAGGAATGTTGTCTTCCACATAACTAGCACGATGTTGCAACTCTTGCAAATTAAAGGACTATTTGGAGGGGTAGCTCATGAGGATCCCCATGATCATATCCAAAATTTTGTGGACGTATGTGGTCCATTCTCATTCAAAAACATCTCACAAGATTCAGTCTGGCTCCGGTTATTTCCTTTCTCTTTGATGGGGGAAGCGAACAAATGGTTAGCTTATCTACTGAGGGATTCGATCACATCTTGGGAAGAACTTACAAAGGCATTCTACATAAGATTTTTCCCTCATTCAAGGATGATGGCATTGAGAGACAATATTCAGGGCTTTACACATTTAGATTGTGAGCCAATCCACGAAATGTGGCAAAGATTTCAGAGGTTGTTACTTCAATATCTGACTCACGGACATCCAAACAACTTGTTGTTACAACACTTCTACCGGAGTCTAGATTCGGTGAAAAAAGGTGTGGCTGATCAACTTTTTTGAGGATGTATTATGAGCGCCCAAATGGATGTTCTCTCTAAGCATGTAATGGGTAGTGGTTCTAAAGTTGTGAATGATGTTGGAGTTAGCGAAGTGAATCCCGATGATGCAAATTTAAAGCGTTGTTCAATGAAGAAGTACACTTTCTAGCAAATCAGGGAGGAGGATTTCACCAAAATTATCTAAGTTCGGGTGGAAACCAAGGTTTGAATAGAGAGCGTGATGAAGGATGGAAGGATCGTGATAACGAGTGGTGTGATCGTGGAACAAACTAGAGGGAGTGTGATGGTGACAAAGAAAGATATGTTCCTCCCCATGAGCGTCAAAAGCCAAAAGAACAAAGGGTTGACCCGGAAAACTTTCACACTGAAGATATGCTTACATGCATTCTCAATAAAATGGAAGGGTCGGACAAGGTTCTTCAAGAAATGAAAGAGGACCTCTCCATACTAAACCATACGGTTAACTCTCACTCGGTGTCCATTAAGCAATTGGAAATGCAAATGGGTCAAATATCATCTAATTTGAACTCAAGGCCAAAAGGGGGTCTACTAAGTGATACCTTGGCTAACCCGAAGAATGAACCTTAAAAGTGTATCCACGTCGTGCCATGACGTTAAATAAGGTGCTTCTTGGGAGGCAACTCAAGGGTTTAAGCTTTTCTTATTGTTGTTCTAATGACGGGTGTTGAATGTGCAGGTTGAAAAGTTGAAATTTTGGGCCAAGGAGCAATTAGGCGAGCCCAGTGACCAATCAACGACTCGTCGAATAGTTCGGCGAGCCCAACTTGGCAGTCATTTGAACCACCTAGTTAGCTAGAGCTTTAGTAAAACTCAGCGGGCTAAAAAGCCATTTGGCGCATCACCGAGTGGGTTGGCGACATAAGTGGTTATCGTTGATCAGCGCGCGAACTGAAGAGTCATGAAGGGCTGAACCATTTTTAAATTCAAAACTCTCCCTCATTTCATATTTTTCATCTTCTACACATTCACAACTGCACTTTAGATTATATTTTTTTGTTTTTTTTTGCTTTGTGTGTTGGATCAATTGCTCAGGGGGGAAACTTTGGTACTTTGCTAGCCTAGTATTTCAATCATCTGCTTTTGAGGTTGGTTATCTGAACCCTGCACTTTAATTTTAGTAATTGCAAATACATGATCGTTACCTTGTTGATTTATGTGTGTAGTAGTAATTGTTTGAATGATGGTTGTTAATATGTGCCTTTAAGATCCCGAATTGCCTATGTTTGCATTTATTTGTGAAATTTCGTGTGTTGAATGATCAAAATGATGGGTTGTGTTGATTTTGTTGATGGGTCTAATGTGGGTGAAGTTTGAGTAACCCCAAATTATGTCGATTGTCTGATTCTTCCTAATGATAGAGAGGTTGATGTCATTCTTATGGGCAAAAGCTATCAATTGGCCAATTTTTGCCAAATTGGGGAAAGTCTGAGTACTCCGAGGTCATGGGTAGTATGGGTCTGGGCTCTATTTCATAGAATAATGGTTTAACTTCGTTTTCATGGGCTGCGGGTGGGAAATTAAAGGTCGCGGTAAAAATCTAGCAGGTTGGACTATTCGGTGAGTTGGGTCGAGCTCGCTGAGTGGTTCGGCATTTGCCTAAAGACCCCTTGATTGCATTTTTATCCTTCATTTTTGTTATTTGTGTTCTATATAACATTCGGCAATACACCTGAGCTCACCGAGCTCACTCGGTGACTCGCCGAATGCCTTTCTGATAGACCTTCTATGCCCTGGTATTTTATGAAACTATTCTGTAACATTCAGCGAGCTACTTCTTGTTCGTTGAATGGTGTCGGCGATTCGCCGAAAGGCCCTGGACATCGCCGACATGTGCTGATTTTTGGTAAATTTTATTCTGCAACATTTAGTGA